GTGTGTTGTTATCGTCGCTTGGGACTCAATTCCCACACGTGCGCAGGTGACGACCCCCTCCCCGCTTTAAACGTTTAAACCTAAAGTATGTTAATGACAGTACACATAATCACAAAAACATATCAATTATCAAATATTATCAATTATGATATATATTAGTCGATACAATGAGACAATTTAGTATCTACTATTGATTATCACATTGATTCCCCCCAAAAAAACTTCATTTTATATTTCAATCGAATATCGTAAGTGACAATGGGTGTAATTTTACTTCAACAAAAAACGAGGCGGAGTTTAAACACGAGCATGATGTTAACAGAGCAAATTGTACAAACCCCAACTAAATAGAACTTTCTGAACAGTCTTTCAATTCCGCGAACTTCGGCAGCATATTTACATAACTTGAGATTGCATCATGACACAACCTTAAGAGATAACTTTTAGCCACAGTTTCAAATATTTATTTGATGCATGCAGGTACATTAGCATTTAGAAACTCACTTTTTCGGATATTTCATCGAAATTTTAGTACTGCAATATTTGCAGCCCAAACATTATTTTATCTTGATAGAATATCAAACTTTGAATTATTTAAATATGTCAAAACACATGTTTAATAAAGGCGACACATGTCCAATATGTTCTCTGTGGTATTTCCCCCCATAAAGTTAGGCTACATTGAGTGCGCTCTATAGATTCGCCCTGACGGTGCGTGTCACGCACCAATCAAGTTTCGTTATGAATTTTACTTATTCAGCTTGTTTGAACCATGACAACATAAATGGCGGTGATCGTCGCGCAATGTGTGTTCGCATTTGGCTTAAACAATGTATTTTACACGCGTCGCTATGGGTCTCTTATAGAACACGCGCCGCAACGACCACCGCCCTCTAACATTATGGTTACAGTATGATACCAGCAGCATAGAATTCAACATCACCGATAGAGGGCGAGAACTCAGAACGCTAATTAGTGACTCCCCCAGCTGATCCCTAATTCGTTTGGTGGCAAAGTTTGGCCATGTCACATCCTCTTACAACTTTGAACTTAAATGATGGATTCGATTCGACAGCGAACTTACCGCATACAACTAAACCTGTGTACCCCCAGGGTACAATCAAACCTGTGTATAGTGACCACCCAGGGTACAATAATGTTGCTGCAGTTTAGCAGCTCTTATTGGCCGCTTAAGCTATTTTGATATTACGTTGCGGCCATAGATCTCTGGTCGCCCCGCAACGTATACCACGACCAAGAGAGCTGCATAAACTGCAGCAAACAATAATGGTGACCTTCTGCAATGACATCTCCCATTGATCATAGGAGATCAGCTAAGAAAAAAAGTCAAATTTTGGAAATACACATAAATTATTAGGAATAAACTATTACACAACTCGGGCAATCTGGTTTAAAATAAGAACAGTTCATAGAATACCAGATGTTCGTTTGTTAAAACTCCATCTTCTAAAATGGTACTTTACAAACTGTGGATAACAATTTAGTATTGCAGAATTTACTTCTTCTGCATATCACTGTGAAAAAATACAGGAATTCAAACAAACAAATTGGAGCCTACCCTTTCAGATTTTATTGTTTGTCATGACCTTCAAAGGTCACACATCCTGGTACTGTCATTGATAAGAAAAACAAAACTAAATTTATGTTATTGTTATTTCAGGACAATTTTGTGGACTTGACTGTTTTAGCTAAAATATTTGTTAGGGGAAAAAAATGGACACATTGAAATGCAACAATTGCACATGTTTGTGATGCTGTCATACTAATAAAAGTACCAGGATGTGTGACCTTTAGAGGTCATGAAAGTGGTCTATTGGTTACCGTAGTTTTTAGGTAAGATTGCAGAAACAGTCAGATATGTGAACATAGAAACTGAAATACTGGAACTTTTAAATCATTATGGTTTATTTTAGTCATTTATAGTCTACAAGATTTCTCATCCTACACACTAAAAACAAATAATTTATTCATGTTTGGAAAGTGAGCTAAAAGTGATCACCAGTCGGCCAATTTCAGTGAAAGATTTAGAGCGTTCCCAACTAAAAGAATTATTACCCATATATACATACCCCATAACCAAAGTAATTGGGGAACCAGAATTGTAATTGCATATTACAGCGTATGACATGGTGGGAGTGTGTACAAATCCTCAGCAGGAGCTGGGTAGGTGTGGTTTGTTAGCTGTTGTATACTGTGGAATACTTTATTTTCACTGGAATTAATTTTCGCTGAAAAGGCTTTTTGGGCGTTTTGTGTGGAATTTATTTTCACTGATTTTTGTTGAGTTTAATGTGAAATATAGGAAAAAAAAGTATATTCACTGGATTTTATTTTCACGGAAACATCCCTTCAGCAAAAATAAATTCCAAGCGAAAATAAAGTATTCTACAGTATATCTGGTAGCGTGTGGGCTTCAAAAACGAACACCACCATCAATGGGGTGAAACCTCATTGACAGTGCTGAAGGTTGCTTACATAGAACGTAAACTTCAATTGCTCTCACCGTGATGATGCATGCATTCTGTAAGGCCAGACTTGTATTATCCCTTGTTTCGCGAACCCGCCAAATGAACAGCAGCCGAAAATGAAATAAAATATAATTTTATTTCAGCATAATTTCTCGCGCCCGCCGAATTGTAAGCCCAAAATATATTATTTTTATCTTCATTTTTTTACCGCCGCTGCATAATAAATCCAAGTTGCATTTTCGTGGGAGTGTCATGATCAAAGTACCGAAGTCTCGCGCAGATGAGAAACAAGGTTTCTTGGAATAAAAGTTTATTTCATTTCTCTTCTCTTCTCCGATCAATGATCTCACTTACATTTCCTTGAGAATCACACAAATCTAATGGGGGAAAAAAGAATTATATTTTTTTTTTCCCATCCTCAAAAAAAATGGCCTTATAAAAACTCACGAAACAAGGAATAAAAAAAGTCTGGCCTAATATCATATGCTAATAACTTAACGAGGTTATGACGTAGACATATCTCATGAATATCATTTTAAACTGAAATTATTAACAGAAAGCATTTAGTATGAAACGCAGGAATCGCGTATATTCGATCTTGACCCTCACTCAGTCTATTGTGGTTATTTGAAGACTAAATGCTTTTTATCATTCTAAACTGGTCACCAAATTTAACAACTATTTCTGCGTTTTACGATCAAATCTACATGAGCAAAGGCAAGTCTCAATAGGTCTTGATTGTATACAGCGGCTATTCCCAGCTCAATGCACGATAGCGCACTGTAACGCGGCCCTTATTGATGTTCGCTGTGCCACCATGTCAATGACAGTTCCAGGCTATATGATGCATATGATTTGAAGAATGAGTGCAAAGAAAATGTTGAGACAAACAATTTTGCCTATGCATCAAATTCAAACATCGGTTTAATAAGAGTATTAGAAAAAGGGGACAATTGAAAAATACAAGCTAAAATTGGCTACCAGTTGGCAAAATTTTAGTGAAACCACAAAATTGGTCAACAAGCAGCTTGTCGGCCGAGATAGCTCCGCTGTTAGCATTGAAAAATGAACAATATGTTTGGTATCAAAGATATCAAATTTGCAGTTTTCAACAAGAATTCAAAAATATCACTTTTCACCAAAAATATTCATCAAAATTAGATAATTGAAGATATCACCACGAAATGAACAAATCTGAGGTCCACATGTAGTACCTATATGTATACCGGTAATATCAAAGCAATCAGACATGCGGTTTTTAACAAGTCGAAAATATCACTTTTTACCAAAAATATTTACTAAAATCAGAGAATATCATCACGAAATGAATGAATCTGTAATATTAAAGCAATTGCGGTTTTCAACAATAAGTTAAAAATATCACTTTTTACCAAAAAACAATATTCATCAAAATTAGAGAATTGAAGATATCGTGAAATGAACAAATCTAAGAGAGGTCAACCCAAGGCACATATACAAGTATCAAAGCATTCAGACTTAGTTTTCAAGAAAAGTCGAAAGAGTAAAACATTGACATTTACGACGGACAATTACTCGTATGATAAGCTCTGCTCGACAAAGTGGACAGCGGAGCTAAAAAATTAAATTACTATACTTAAGAAAAAACAAATCCATCCCCTGGCAACCGAGCACGACTTTGGTAAAAGAGTCGCGTTCAGTACGTAAACATTAAAAAAGAGTAAATCTAAGCCATACAGGTTTGCATTCAAGCATTAGGCAGACAATACATGGCTAGGGATTAAAATATACAAATGCAGCTAACACGTTCCTGCAACTTAACATATATGACGATACACGATTATTAAACATGTTAATCAGGTCACGAGTCAGTCTTCAATAAAGCACTGGTTAATGTCCATCTGCAATAGTGCTCCAAAAACTACTTTTAATGGCGTAACATGACCCTGGACGTTCAGGACGTCTTGATCAGGATCGTAAGCCCGAAAGTTGAGAAAACGGCACAAACTCAAATTTGAGTTAATCCTGAACAACCGAATTGAAACATTTTACACATGGAGGGGGTAATCTTCATTTTCCAGGATAGTCTCAAGTTGTCTGAAAGTTTGATAGTTACTCGTACCAGTAATGGGGTTGTCAGGTGGTGAAAATGTTCAGATGTTCACTAACGAGAATACCTTTACATTAAATTCTCCATTTCCATTTCCATGCACATGCAAAAAATAGCCCCACCCCAAAAGAAAACTATTAATGTGTACAAAAGTACCAGAAGAACAAGCATTGGAATTGCACCCCAAGCTGTTCCCTACCTGGAACTCTTCAAAGAAATGTGAATTTTCTCTGAAATGAAATCCATTGACAAAATAGTTCGCAACTTTAACCCTTATTTTGTCAACTTAGTGTACTTTCACACATCGACTTGACCAGATAAGGGTTAAATGAGAAATTATACATGCAGATGGTATGGCTGAATCCGCACTTGATTCACTGCAGGGTGAAAAGCATACAAAAGCCATCAACACAATGAAGGAATACAATTACATTTGCTAAATTATTTAATACTAACCAGTAGCGTGCAAACGTACACTTTATATTTTAACATAAATAAAAGAAAAATGTATCCCACTTAACGCCGAAAAAAAATTAAAATATAATTGTTGGGGGGTTTTATATAGTATAAATCGGCAGTACATGACAACCAAATTGGACCCAAAAAATATAGATCTTAGTTTGTATTCTTGTTTAAGAATTGTTCAATGTGTAAAAGTTGTTTGAACTTCAATCTCAACCTAAACTTGTTATTCATTACAATACCATAAATCTTTGTGCAGATACGACAGCAGAATATTTCAAAGTTGCAGTTACAAAACTTGGTACTTTCATAAATATATAATTTGCTTTCTCTTTTTATAGACGCTAAACCAAGTAATTAAATACAAGACTTGACATACATGGTTGGTTCAATCAATTCTATATAGAAATCTTCAATGTTATTACGAGTTAAACGGTGCATAGTACGTGGCTATCACGAGATTACTGCAATGTACGCACAAAGGCAGAACAAGATTTTATCGAGCAGCACGTACTAGACGTTGATGCGACTTAAATGCTCAAGTGCACAATTTTGCCTGTGAAAACCTTGTACAGTTTCCCCTCAGATTTTATGAAGATAACGGCAGCAAATTTTTCGTGTTCAGTGATGGTTTCCATCATTTAATTCTTCCATGTCTAATGTAAAGAGCACTTGAATGAGAATATTAATAACAGTGAAAGAGTTACCCATTTAGCAGTACAATACAATGAAATACACATTACCGGTACTCAAAATTGTCACTACACGATGTACACGATGCTCCTTTTAAATAAAAAGAATGAACGGCCAACAAATAAACTGCTACGATTTCATAACCAACTAAACTAGATTTGTATCATTAGTATAACAATTATTCAAAGTGAAACTTAACACACATGGTTTATTTTATGCATTTAATAATCAACGTCAGGCACAATCGGAATGGGCGTTATCATAACAGTTGGATGGTCTCCACGTTCCAGATGTGGAATTGAAAGGCCACTTCTCATAGTTGGGCAGGTAATGGAATCAGAAAAGCATTTTGTGTTGCAAGGTGGTGGTGCCGGTTCCATCTCGACAGGACATGGCATGATTCTCTTCAGAAAATTCCTGCAAAATTAAATAGATTCAATATTTCAATTGAATTTTTCTAGCTTTCTAGCTCTGATGTTAGCAATGCATATTTTAAATAACTAACTGAAGATATTAGAAAAAATATGAAAAATATTTTTATAAACAATTATTTTATAAATACACTTTGTAAAGAAACAAGATTCATAAACATAAATCTATTTGAATACATTCTCACTACAAATTACACAATACTTATTTTCTAATGGAGTTTCTTCACAGCACAAACTATTGGAATCATGCACACGTGCGAGTACTTCAGTGACACATTTTATGGCTACGCCCAAAATAGTCCATCATTGATTGCGCAACTGTGACCACATGACATCATTCTGTTAACATCCACACATTTTCATAAAATCTCCATGCACTTTTTGACCTTTCATAAGTAAAATACACTACAATTTACTCCAGAAAAAACAATTTTCTTGGTACATTCCTACATACTAATGAGGGATTCAGACACATTCCAAGCTGAACAATTTTCTTGGACTAATAACAAAGATGGTCAATCCTTTCCCAGCAAAAATGAACAAATCTGAGAGAGGTCTACTTGAGATACCTATATGTATAGTATCAAAGCAATCAGACTTGCCGTTTCAACAAGAAATCAAAAATATCACTTTTTTACCAAAAAGGTATCAAATCTAACCAGAAGTCTGCCTAAGGTAATATACACCAAGTATCAAAGCAATAAGAGATGTTTTCAAGAAGTCTAAAGAGTAAAAAGTCAATGCCTGTGAACGACAGACAATCACTTGTAAAGTCGACAGCGGAGCTAATAAAGTTTTGGTTTTATTTCACACTTCATGTCTTTCACTCAATTTTTCTTTCTAAATCTATCAATATGCATTGAAACAGACTTCTGTATTCTATATTACGAACTTACCATGTAGATTCATTAGCCATGTAGTAGCAAATTGGTTTGGGGAATCCATTAAAGGTTGATGCAGCACACATGGTGTAGGCTCCCATATCTGAAACATGAAAACAATTATCTGTTATTTCATACCACAAAGCTACAAAGACTTCAAAAACAATTTCTAAACAGTAATTGGAAATGAAGGTCATCAATATAGAATAGAATAGAATAGAATAGATAAACAAGGTCATTTCCTAATCAGTTTAATTCTCAGTTTTAAGATGCATCTTTGTGTGCTGTGTGATTAATTTGTACAGACAGAATAGAACAAAGTTATGAAAAATATTTCCACAGATTTATTCCTCTTGGGAAAACAAACTTAGAAATCAACTACAGCAGACATTCCATTATACTACGAAAAATAGGCTTCTGCTAAAGATAATAGTTTTAGAAATGATAGATAACATTTTTCCTGAGCCTTCATTAGCCAAATTACTAAATGTATTATTCATGCAAAAAATTGGAAAATACAACTTGTGTTCTTTAAAGAGAGCAGCAGAAAAGAGCATGTTACTATACTGTGAAATACTTTATTTTAGCTGGAATTAATTTTCACTGAAAAGACGATGGGTGTTTTGTATGGAATTTATTTTCACTAGTTTTTGACAAGTTGAATGTAGAGTATAGGAAAAAGGTATATTCGCTGGATTTTATTTTCATTGAATCATTCCTTAAGCGAAAATAATGAAAATTAATTCCAATCGAAAATAAAGTATTTTACAGTATATATATTGCAACATTAATTAAATATTCACATGCTAATTGCCATCACACTGATGAGCACAGTAACAAAACAGACTTATTTTATTAAACTGTTTTTCTGATGTTTCAAGCAGATCGTTATCAATTTATCATCGGTGATATGGCATTGCCACCTGACCAAGTTTAGCTAGCAGAAACCCAGCACCACAGCTACTAATTGTATTTTCAATCCAACCTTGTGACATTTATCAATCAATTAACGATGTAGTAATTATTACCACAGTCGTAAAAATATGGGCATTAGTCCTGGGTAACGGAAATGACTAACGATGCATCAAAATTGATGACAGATTGTAACACATTGACAGTCGCTCAAATAGTATACAACAAATCACATTATTTTGGCCACAAGGACGATATGTTAATTTTGTGTGAAAATTATAACATCTTGCTCATTAGCTTTCTCAAAAAAAAAAAAAAAAAAATCACATTTTTTGCACAGTGAATCTTTTAAATATTAATTATTTTGACCATAGAGTTATTTAAGCAACTGTGCTACTGAAGAGCAAATACTATAATTCCTATTTCTACTACTAGCTAGGCGACATCAACTTTGTGAAAACTAGTCAATTTTGAACAGGAGTGATTATTTCTCTTCTTCAAATGTACCAGACTCGTTATTATAATGTAATAAAAGTTATTTTAGAACAAAATATTTTGATGGTTCTCTATGAATAATCTGCTGAACACTAAATTCCTCTGCTTTAACAGGCTTTTAAAACAACTTTATAAATGCGCCACCATATCAGTACATTTTTTAGAAGTTTCAAAACTAGTTTTGTGCTCCTGGGGCATGCTCGCAACAGAAAACCGGCTGTCTGTTTACACCAGTTTTTTGTTAGTTAAATATGCACGCTTTCATGTTGTTTTCCATAAATATTTTTTAACAAGCAGCCTGTCTGCTGAAGATATTGTTAGAAAATGAACAGTATGTATATAGTATCAAAGCAGGGACTTGCTGTTTTCAACAAGAATTCAAAAATATCACTTCACCAAAAATGACAAAAATAATTATCAAAATTAGATAATTGAAGATATCACTACAAAATTAACAAATCAAGGTACATATACACCAAGTATCAAAGCATTCAGGCTTGTAGTTTTCAAGAAGAAGTCGAAAAAGTAAAACATTGACACTGACTACGACTGACAATCACTCATATGATAAGCTCCACTTGACAAAGTCGACAGCGAAGCTAATAATAGAAGGACTTCAGGAACCTCAAACATGTCTTATGGGCAATTTCTATAGAACACAGCATTAAAACTGTACATCAACTAACAAGTTTGATAATATAAATTTTCTGCTAGTGGCTTGTGGTAGCTACATAGCCCTCGTGGGCTTGCATTATATGCCACCCTTCGAGATTCATTCAATCACAATGTACGCTGTTGAATAGGTACAGCCTCAATTCAGCACACAACTCATGCAAATGTAAAATCGGCATCAATAAATAATTGACTGAATGTGTTTAAATACATAATTATCTTTGTTAAATTCATCAATAAATTTTGCCATCTGGCAAACGTAACTCAACAGACAAACCATATTACTGTTGGTTGCTCGTGGTTACATAGTTTTATTAGCCAAGAGAATTGTCATTCTAAAACCTCAAAATGTGCAGTTCAACAGAAAACTAGATATTTTCCACGAACACTAACTTTTTCTTTCATTGTGATGAACATTTTAATTCTCTTGCAATACATGTTGATTTATAATTTATCGTGGTTCACTAGGAGAAGTGGCAATTTTTACACAAAAAGTAACAATCATGGAAAGCTTCCCCTGCAAGTTAATTGCTCACAATTCAGACTGATTTTAAAAGCACAGATCGCTCTAAATACTTGCGTTACTGTGCTCAGTTTTAAGCACATCAGACATTTTTGAAATTCATAATTTTATGACATTTTGATACATACTTTCATCTTTTTCTCTCTCTCTCTATATATATCTATATCTCTATCTCTATCTCTATCTATATCTCTATCTCTATCTCTATATCTATATATCTATATCTCTATCTGTATATATATATATACATACATTGTATGAAGCAGAAACTCGTATTTTGCACTATTTAGCTAATTCAAGTTCTAAAGAAATAAGTAACCATAGTTACCAACTATTATCGGAATAAGTACAATAGTTACCATAGTTTTCCTAAATGGGTAATTACGACTACCAACATACAATGCCAAACAGTTTCCAGTGATTCCAAATGATATCTAGCACATTGTAGACTTACTAATTAATATACATCAAAAGCCCAGATAGGGTACATGCAGTAACAGTGTATTTCAAATTGCAACAATAGTTATAACTGCATTTACCTTCGAACACAATCCAGTCACCAACATGAAGCTCCGGGAGTAAACAGTTTTCCATAATACGATCCAGACCATCACAGGATGGTCCCCACAAACTAGAAGCAAATTTGGGTTCTCCCAATAACATTTTCTGTAAGACATCAGAATAATCATGATAACGTAATTTTATTACTTTATTTGATCTTTTAGAACTACTCCACACTTGCATAAATGAACAACTTCAAGGTCAGCATAAAACAATCAGTGACTGATTTTAAAGCACCCATTGCCACGTTGTCAAATATTGTTTTCACAAAATTTGAAGTGTGCGATAATCATACCACAATATTGTCGACTCGCATGTTTTTCTCACATCGCCTGCTCATGCTATTTTTTCCCATTCATTTATACAAGGAGGCTTACAGCAGGCGTTGCGGGTGCCTTGGTTGAGCACAAACACGACCCCCCCCCCCTCAAGAAGGCTACATACATCAATGGCTCAGAAGCATTCTATATTAGTTTCACAATATTCAATGAGGGCAAGAAGTCATCACAGCCATTCACAAGACAAGAGACCCAGGAGATATCCCCAACGTAGGCTAGTTAACATACCTTGAGGAGACTTGGTTGCACAGTAGCATGGTCAAACAACAGACAATTAAAAGATCCATATACTCCATCATTGCAGTAATACATGTAAGCTGGTTCATCACATTGGCTGGGTGCAACGGTATTCGCCACCAAATCTGTGAAAGATGGAAACCTAACATTTAATTCCCCATTCAACCAAGCATAACCCCATTAATACAACAATACGATTGAATAGAATCAAAAGGTCAATAAAACTAATTGTCACATAGTAAAGTAAAAATGATTTTTTTTTTTAAATCTGAAGCAATACGAGAAATAAAGCACAGGTTATACAGCCAAATTTATAGATCTGATGAAATATTTTACTATCAGAAACCATTTTACAAAAAAAGATAAAATAGTTGCATTCAAATTAGTTTGTTTCTGCAAAATCCACTGCCATATTGTTTGAAACGGCAACAATGGCTACATTGCCAGCTCCTGTTGAGATTGGTTTGACGTAAACAGTTCTAATCACGTAAACTAGTCAGCAACTCAGATGCTGACAAAGTTGCTATTTGGTGTTAGGAACAATATGGCAGAGACAGTACAATGAAATTAAATTCAATGTTCTTATTGGTCAAATAAGTCTATACCTACCCTCAGAGCCGGGAACATGGAACGTTTGGATGTCTCTAGCCACAGCACGTTTAGCGATCACATTTAGAGTTAGAGTGAAGGCAGATGCTACAAAGTAACGACCTGGTTCACTGATGATTCTAACGCCACAGCCTTCTGGGAAATGCACGTCCAGAGCTTGATTGATGCACCCAGCCATCTATAAATAATTGGAAAGTACAGTCAAAGTACAGTGCTGGCGACTACTCTTGCGATATACTTGCTCATAGATATTTGCATATTTTTGCAAATTACCACACACAACTGACAAATTTTTAAGATTTTTTTTGGCCCTAGTTTGCACAATAAATCACTGAAGATAAAACAATTTATACCTCTTCAAAGGAGATGGCAGCTGATGATTGACCGGGGTAGCCACCTCCAATGTCCAACAGTTGAAAGTCGAAGCCAAGGGCGGATCCATAATCAAATACCATACGTGATGACTGTATGGCATCAGAGAAAGCAGAGGCATCTCTACAACCACTCCCAACATGGAAGCTGTAATTTTCAAGGTTATTGAGTGAATAACATGGAAGGTATAGTATTGGAATAAATAGGAGAGGAACATGTTTAGTGTCTAAAGAATTGTTTGAAATTAGGTTTAGCCATTGGGGAACGAAAGTGCCAATTGGGAGTAGGCTAAACCTAATTGGAATGCAACATTAGAGATAAACAAAATGTTAGCTGAAACATTCATCTCACAGAAATTGTGAAGAGTTTCAATTTGGGAGCTGGTAGTAACCTCAAATTCTGCTTCCAGCACCTCTAAGAGTCATTCAAATTTTTTCAGCAGATTGGTAATTTATAAGAGGGCTTTTTGCTATTTATTATAAACCAGTCGCATTTATCCATCAGAAGGCTTTTAAAAAGAATCCAAATTTCAGAAAAGGAATATTTGGGACACGCAGAATCAATCATGCACTGTAATCGTGTCTTGCAATGTAAAAATGAGGCGATCTTTATGACCTGCATGACGCAACAAAAAGCAAACTAAATAAATTCAGGAATACAGTATACCAGTAGTTTTAAATGTCAAACTATTAATATTTTATTAGTCAGAGTTCTGGAATGAAAGCTTAACTATTTTATTGCTGCAACATACCCGCCGATTTGATTTCTGTTTATAACAAGGTATCAAAGAGCACCCAAGAATGAAATAAATTGTTTACGGGGAAAAAAACATGTTACCATTACTGACACCGGATGTTTGGTATTTCTTTTCAATTTAATTGAGTTTATCACTGATTAATTTTATTTTGAACAAGACCATCCGGTCTATTAAACAGGCAACACATGAACAGTGTTACATACTTGCTAATTTGGCACATGTTATAACTTTTGGGTTTCTTCAACCATGAGTAGAAGCGCATGTACTACAAACTATTATACACAAAGTCAGAAGTAAGACTTCCTCGTATGCATATAGTAAAAGCTTCTGTTTTTAGCGGTCATTAAAAGCACCAAATTAAATTCTAAAGCATAATGTGCCGGTTTAATTACCTGACTTCCAATAATTCGTAACAAACAAATACACTGATCAGACAATGCCAGTGTTTGTCTCGGGGGGGGGGGGGGGGG